TCCGTGTAACACCCGTTAATGTACTGTTTTTCTATAGCTCTGCTGGGGGCAAAGTCGTACAACAGAAGAAAGCTACTTAAAAGAGTATAATTTTAATGCTTTCTAAGTTGAATAAATAAGAACACAAGCGACAATAAAGCAAGACTTAATATATGAGAGTATAGCTAAGTCATTATAACGAGGTAGCTAAGTCGTTATGAAGAGTTAGCTTAGTCGTTATGAAGAGTTAGCTAGTAAGTCGTTATAACGAATTAGTTAAGTCGTTATAACGAGTTAAAATTGTAATAAAAAAATACAATTCCCCATGACACGTACCGGCTTCCGTAAATCGAAATGATGAGGTATGTGCAGGTAATGAACTAGGCACGTAGTTTCATTGTCATGTCAACTCTTGGTTGTGATGATCCCATATAAGAATAAGAATATGTGGTACGATTGCATATTATACAACTGTCTACCATATACCAAAAGGCTAATGTTTTGATTTATTACCATACATACCTTACTGAAAGAGTACCTATGGGTAGCATTAGGTTTTCTCAGATGAATATTCTACGTATGCTTATTCAATTCATCAGTATGAAATGTGTGTGCAAATCCCAAATGTGTTTTTTTTTAGTCATCGATGTTTGTTTATAAAATTTAATCTTTTTTTTGTCATTCTTGTTATTGAAACATTAATGTGATAATTGTGAAAGACAAATTTCCAAGGTTTTAGCAGTCATTTGAGAACCATTGCTGCAATTGTAGATATTTTATGGCCATCTATAACCGTCACAGCTACAAGGATAAGAAACTGTGACAGATTTGATATTTAATTCCATTCCTGGAATGACAAACACTGAAATGGACAGTCATGTTTGTATTTTTTGTTGTCATTAGTGATTTGTTGTTCATACGGTACAAAATGTTATCAACAATAATTTGATTATCTTGTACTGCTGCATTTCAGTGCTCATAGTTCATTAGTGTCCCTCTATAACTTAACAAATAAATGAATATATAAATGTCGTATGTCCGAAGCGCCCTCCTGGATTAACCTTCACCAGCAACTCTCAAACCCAACATTTAAAAGGCAAGAACGTTTTTAAGTAACCGAATGCTTGAGAAGATATGTGACCAAAGGGACCAACTGATCGTGCGGGGGCTTCACAGTCAGTCAATGTAGTTAAAAACCACCCTAGTAGAGGAACATAGAAGAATATCAAAATTTTCGAAGGTCGGCTTTGCCAGAGGGAGTTAGAACCTAGGTTTTGTAATGGTTACTGTGTTGATAAAGAAGAATAAAAGAGAAGTATGTAACAAATCATGTCAATACTAAATCACTGACTTCTGATCGGGGACTGCATGTAACATTCCTTTTCCAGCGGTATCGACCCAGTGCTAGTAAATAAAATTACACTATATAAATGGCATGCGTCTGAAGCGGTTTTCTGGATTAACCTGCTTTAGGAACTTTCACACCAAACCATTTGAAAACCAATGATGTATAAGTAACCAAATACGCGGGGAACTATCTTAACAAAATGGACATGAAGTAATTGTCAACTTCATATAATGTCAACTTTGTCTAATGGTTTCATACGAAAACATTTTCTGTAGACAAAGTGATTGATTGATTGATTTATTGATTGATGTTTAACACCGTTGTTGCCTATTCAGTCTTTTTGATGGAATGAACCGGAGTGCCCGTAGAAAAACCACCGATAAAAGATCCATATCAATACACGAAGACGTAGGCTATGGATCAACAAGACTGCAACCCAATGAGAAAAAATAACCAGAATACATCTAGAGCATAATAAACCAAATGTCTCCAAAAAGAACAGATGTCCACATATTACATTTTGTCAACTGAACTTAATCAACTCGATTCTATAATAATCTTAGGTTTGCAATTAAATCTTAATTTCCCAAAAGAAAAGAATTTAGATATGACATACGACAAGAAGGACGAAATTCCTTACCTCGGAAAATTGTAAGGAGTTAAATTGGTTGTTTTTAATTTTTTTGTTATATTTTTATCTCAACCATTTTGTTTATTGTCCATTAGTAGATCAAATAAAGTACACGACAGAGCACAACATAAGAAAAACCTTAAACAATCTCATTCTTGTACTGTTTAATCGCCTCAATGGTCACGTGGTAGCGTGTTCGCCCCGAGTACAGAAGGTCGTGGGTTTGAAACCCGCTCGGGTCAAACCAAAGACTTTAAGTTTGCAGTTGCTGCTTATCTGCTAACCTTGAGCCATCATGGAGTAAGAGCAAAGAATGGTCGGATCAGAGTCAGCACAATGTGTCGTTCGAGTAAGGTTACATGTCTTCCAGCGAACTGTTACATTTGCATCTTGTACCTTGTGAACTAGAACGTTAAAAATGTAGGTCAGCATGTCGGTCTTATACAAAGCAGGGTAAGGGGAGGGTGGGCGCCTTAAAACATGTTTAACCCATCGGTATTAATAGACTTTCAATATATTACATTATGATTTGAGATTGTTTAATCACTTGGGATGGGCATTTTGTATTTGGCATTGCAAACGAGAATTAGAGTTCGACACCACCTGAATGGTCTAGCATGTAGTATAGTGCTCGTCGCAAGTGCGGAAGGTTGTGATTTCGGTTTCAAGAAAATTACAAAAAAAATATATATAACAAATATACCAAACTCCATCGGAACGAGTGAAAAGCGGTCGTCATATTCCAGACATAAAAATTGGCAAACATGTTGCTTCTCCCCAAACCTGCAACAGTAAGACGTAAGAATAAGGACTGGTCAGCCAATATTCAGACATGTTTGTTCGTGTTGGATGACATTGATTCACGCTGACTACTATCTTATGAAGACAATTTAAAAAAAATATACAAGGTTCATATTGCTATCACATTAACATAAGCCCGTATTCGTCACCCAGATAGAACATATTAAATGTTTTTTTTAATATTTATATTGACCTCAAGATTTGCTTAGTTTATTTGTCGTAAGTAATACCTAGTTATAGTAAGTAAATGTAAAGACATTCTTAAGTAATATATTTACTTCAAATAGGTTGGAAAATTTCTAAGTAATTTTCTTTTAGAGTGCATTGCTGAATATTCACGAAAGAGCAACTAAACGACAAATAAAACCAACCCCATCTTGTGGTCATTATAATTATTATTGTGCTTATCCTGAAGGCTTTGGTATATCACAATACCAATTGCACAAATTGTTTACCAAACTGCAGTTTGAATTCATCTCCACAAACTGATCAACCTATTTTAGCTAATCATGCTAATTGCTTCAGTGAAAGTTTGTTAGTTTGTAGTGCGTGCAGTGAAATAAAAATAATACTTACCATCCGACTTCAGTTATTTAATGTATGTGTAATGAAAATGAAAAAGGTCTGACTTTAACATGGAAACTTCTATCCTAATGACATTTTATAAATAATTAGTTCTTACGACTGTTTGTCTAGTCAATAATGTATTGCTTTGTTTTCACAGAGGAAATTATTGTGTAATTGTAATTTGGATAATTTTTACTTTAACAATTACTGATCTGCTGGCATTAAAGGGAAATAATTTTTATTCAGTCATTGTAAAAAAAATTAATCAAAGATACCAGGCTGATGATTTTGTACGCCAAATACAGGTTTTGTCTACAGAAGACATTGAAATAGCTATTAAGTACAAAGTTGAAGAGCATTGAGAAAACAAAATTCCGAAAGGTTTTGCCAAATACTGCATATAAGTAAACCAATCCTCAGGGATAGAACTTAGTATTTTGAACAATTCTAATTTTTGCCAAAAAAAATAATTCATAATTTTGACCATATGCATGGTAATAAATTCATGTCAACACAGAATTGCTGACTACAGGGCTAACGATACTCTCTTAATTTAAAGAGGAATCAGTATGTTTAAAACAAATTTGAATGTGTCCCATAATATATTTTCAACAGTTTTCTTTTCACAAATTTATCATCTTAGAAATAGATTTGAGTGTTCTTTCAAGAACAGAAGATAATAGTTTAATAATGATAGAAATAATGTTGAGAACAAATTACTCATACAATGTCAATATGAAAGAAGTTGATAGTTGACAGAACACAATTTTGCTGATTATAATGTAAATTATTTCCCTTTATTATTAGCAGATTAGTAATTGCTTTGAAAAAATATCCAAATCACAATTATGCAATAACTTCCTGTTAGAAAACAAAGCTATGAATTAATTAACAAAAAAAAAACAATGCTTTGAACTAATGATTTATGAAATTTATTTAGGATAGAAGTTTTCATGTCAAAGTTAGACCTTTATAAATCAGTGCCTCATACTATACCAAGTCATTATTTTGATTGAATTTAATGATATAGACAGTTATTACCTGATGTTTTAAAAAAACTGGTAAGTATAATATTTTTCACTGCACACAACCTATCACTGAAGCAATTACTTGAAATATTTCACCAGTTGAGCAGTTTGTGGAGATAAATGCAAACTGCAATTTGGTAAACTATTTGAGCAATTGGTATAGTAATAGCTCAAAGCCTACTGAATAAGCACAGTAAAAAAGATTTGATATGTTCTATCTGGTTGATGAATAATGACGGGTTTTAACAGATAAACAGTTTTGGTGTTTCAATCCTGCCGCAGTTTAATTCAAATGTTACGTTTATGTACGTACAAACAACTTCTCTGTTTATAATCTAAAGCTAGTGAACTATAATGTGAACATAAACGCAGTTCATTTCCAAGAATGATCGCACGGCTATCGTAAGTCTGTTTTATATCTTCACTTCTTCTAATGTGCAAAGACTATCTTTAAAATGTCCTGTACCAAGTCAGGATTATGGCAGTTGTTTTCAGACAGTCCGTTTCTATGTATGTTGGCGTTTGCTGTTGTTGTAGTTTAGTGTTTCTGTTGTCCCGTGGTTTTCCTCTTATTGTTGATGTGTTTCCCTCGGTTTAAGTTTGTTATCAGGATTTGTTTTTGCTTAATCTAATTCTGACTATAGGGTACAGCAGTCAAAATTATGTTATAATCTTAATCAATATAAAAATAAACAACTATGTGCACACAGAAAACTAATTGTCAGATAGATACTCTATAGACAAAGAACATAAGCAAAACTGAAAGACATTAATTCAAAAATTGACAATAGCACAAGTACACCAAAAAAATAAAAAAATAAAAAATAAAATAAATTGCACGAGTGAATAACCCCGATTCAACTTTAATGGTGTATTTTGTTGTTTATTAGATATCGTCATTTCCTATTGTTATGCAACTGCACCACCGGCAGTGCCTACTGTTGCTCCAGCTGAAATGGACTTTATACCTGCAACTACAATGACACCAACCACAATTGCACCAATAGTACCACCTACTGCAGCAACTACTATTGTAGAACTTGTACCATCATCATCGGCTGAAAAATATGGAAAATGTTATTGCAATAATAGTATTTCCAAATATGTTATGACATCATAACTAGCTGTCACCGTTAACAATATTGATCACTCATTAAATTATTGATTATATTCATTAAAATGCAAAGAAATACAACTGATAATATGAAAAAAATTATTTCGTACCTGATTTCATGAAAAGCCTAGGTCTAGTTATTATATCGATGGACATCCCCTTACCTTTTGTGAAATCATATTTCATAATCAGATATGCATGCTGAATGTGTCATGCTATTTGTAATACTTTTGGTTAGATATGTACCCGCGTATCTTTGTATGACAGTTTCTCTCTATATAACCATCTTGAAGTGATCTGTGTCTGTATTTCCTGGTCTTATACCGGGTCTCTTATAGACACCAGAACAGTCAAATGTCAACTGGATGGTTTGGTCTAGACCTTATGTCTCAGTCTGGTGGTTCGTTTATCCTTGTTTACAAATCAAGATATGTGTACTTACTTCTCTCGGTCTGACCGGTAATCATAATAAAATGAAACGACTTCTAACGAGAAATGCGGGTCTTGGTTTGACAACATGTCCTCGTAAAACCAACAGGACAACCGAAGGTAAGGTACATACGAAGTTGCACGCTATATTGTTCAAGGTAAATATTTGTTCGTTACAACACATACATGTTGTTTTGTAGTTTATTAATGAATAGCAACCAGGACAGAATATTGCCAATGTTAAGGTTGGGTCTGTACTTGTCTTTGCGGGGCATTAATTCTTTATGTAACAATCTTGACATTTGAAACCGATAGTATAATATGTACTTACTTGAAATGGTCTGACAGTTTGTCCCTGAATAATCATCAGGACACTGACAACTATAGGAATAGACGTTATTAGTACAAGTCCCGTTGTTCTGACATGGTGTTGATATACATTGGTCTATATCTAAAACATGAAATATCGATTAGATTAACTAAGGAAACTGAATAGTCAAGCACTTACAACATATGGAATGTGGCGACAAACCAAGTCGTTTTTGTCTCTTTATTACATTAAGAAAGTAAAATAGCAAAAATACCGAACTCCAAGGAAAATTCAAAACAGAAAACCTTTAGCAAGTGGCAAAATCGAAAGCTCAAACACACCAAACGAATGTAAAATAAATGTCATATTTCTGACTTGATACAGGCATTTTCTTGTGTAGAAAATTGTGGATTAAACCTGGTTTTATAGCAAGCTATATGTCTTATTCCAAACACTAGAAAATCGCTGGTCGTAACAAATTACTGACCTGCAGTTCTGTACATATTTTGATGCAGGATAAATACAACAAATAAGTTAAACACATATTTTGTTTTGAAATATATCTAAACATGAGCATATTTCCCCCTAAGCTATTACATGTATTTGATGGTGTAACCCGTTTTTTCTTAACTTAAAATATTTAAATCATGACTGTTTTTTGTGTTCACAGTGTCTTATGTTAACTCTGGTTTCGTATTAGAAAATATTGTTTGAATACAATGATCTTTACGATTCCAGGATTTTGAATACAAATAATGCAATCTAATTTGCTATGTGAATTTCAAGTTTTTTTTTCACAATACACGATAGTGAAAAAAATGATAGTACAATTCTTTAAGGCACATGTGCTTTGTTTAAAACTGTATGTTACCATTGTGTTATCTTTTTGTCTTTGCTTTGAGGCATTATCTACGATCATTGACATTATATATATACAAATGTGCTTTCGTGAGGGAGTGTTTTAATGTATATCCTTGGTTAGTTTTATTTAACTTACTAGGAAGAGGATCTGTGGACGTTCCGTAAAACGTGATCGACCAAGTACCGACAGTTACTGAAATATATCAATTTTAAAACACTTTGATGAAATCGTTCATGTTTGATTGTACCCATTGACTGTGATAGGAGTATACATGTCCCTTGTCGGCAGACCACACTTACGCCATCTCTGTTCCGCATTAGTCAATGATAAAGGAAGTTTAAAAAAAAAAAAAACAAACACCTCAAGAATAATTTCAATATTGTACTACTTAAATACAACTAGTACTTATAACATTATTTAAAGATACTTCAAACTCGACAAAGCACTATTTTATATAAAAAAGCTATAGTGTTAGCAACATAACTCTCCCAAAAAAGGCAATGATCTATATTGGTACAGAAGGACGAGTAGATCCTTCTCCACATGTGGCACCCTTCATGTTGCTATTGTTATATATATTACCCGTTTCTAAAGGTACCCACTCTAGTAAAAAATATTGTTTTCGTTAATTTTCAATTATAACATAAAACATTTTAAAACGTTGCTTGATTTTCAATACATTTCGTTTTTCTACTCTATGAACGCTACTGAAACCTCAAAGACAATGAACAGGAGAAAATACAAGTGGGTTATGTTGTCTAAATTCCTTCCTAATTAGTACGTACTATCAGAAATTAACCCAAATAGTCTATGTTCTTACTGAAACTGATATGCGATTATTAAAACTGTACATCTCTTTCAATTTCTATGTACGTTTCGGCAATAAAGCTAATCGAGTGGTTTCAGATATTCCTATTGACATCGATTGCGCCATTTAAATTCATACGTGTGTATGGACTAATGTTACCAATTTAGGTTTAAAGACCTAATTACTTATTATCTTGATGCAAAAAGACGTTGGTAGTGACTATGGAACATAACATTTGGTTTAATATGTGTGTAATTTAAATGTTTACTTTCAAGTCTTTCTATGTGCACATTTGTGCATTTATATAACGTTTCTTTAAATGTCAGTGTTTATCGTAGAATATGCTGTTGAAAAACAATTCATCTTTCACACACAACATGTTTTGTTTTATTCCAAATCAAACATTGAGTTATTCTTGCTAAACAATACAATATTCTTCGATTAACAGTGATCAGTTCATTGTAGGATATAGCTAAGTTTGAAACTAATCTCGTGAAGAACAACTAATAATAAAAAGAATAATGCTTAGCGATAGAACAAAATCACCAGTTGAATATTTAATCAAAGACAATCAGAAAAAATAAAGTGAACTCACCAACTGAGAGGCCCCCGTACGATTTAGATTTTAAGGTCCATTGTCCAATTGGAGTTTCTCTCCAAAAATGAACTGACATAAATGTCCATGATAATGAACCAGCTGAGGAAAAAGCAATAGCGTCATCATATCTATAATGCATTAAATGGCTCTCTGTTCCTGAAGGTGACACCAGGTAAAATTCCGTCACACCTCGGTATCGAGTGTATGAGAAAGATATGTCAATTGTCACATGTTCTAAATAATCTATTGAAGAACAATCGGAAGTTGAGATCGATCTTATGTCTGTTGTGTAGGATGAACCAGACGTTGATCTGCAAAAAAGTTTAAAAGACATTTTATGTTTCTTTAATGCTAATTCTTTGTTCAAAGCGAACAATTTTAATATATTAAACAAACTGACAAAGCTAGGTGTACAGCGAGCAAAATTGACTATCGACTCCTGAATAATCAATATTATTGTCAGTCATTCGAATAGGGCAAAAAAAAAGAAGAAGAAGAAACATGTAAATCAGAACGTAAACAAAGTTGGAGGAACATCCACATACTTTGGTTTGTAGTGAATAGTTGTCTCATTAGTAATCATCAACACAACTTTTATAGTATGTGTATAGTACATATTTGCAAAATATATTAAATATTTACGAAATATTGATACTGGGGATCGCAAGGGAAGCGAGGGCAAAATAGGTAATGTAAAAAGTGATTAAAGGCATTAATGGTAGGGATTCAGCAACAGTTTCATAACATACTTATTAGGAGTTGATTTTCGGGGCACTGGACAAAGATAAGTATTGCCGTATACAGGTCCGACAAATTAAAAAGGTAAATGCAAAATATTCGGATGACAAAATGAAATATATAACATAAATGTATATTTAGATAAGAGGAAGTTTAACAAAAAATGGTTAAATTAATACATCAACATCTCACTTTGATATATTCCTCCTTTCAATGAAGTCCAGTATGTCGATACAAAACTTGAACAAAAAAATAGTAATTACTCACAACCACTTTTAAAAAAAGTATATAACAAAAATACCAAACTTCAAGGTAACCCCAAAAAGGGGAAGTCCAAAAACCGACCACATCAAACGTTACCAACAATAGGAACGAACCAAAAACACCCACCACACCCCAGATCCGACACAGTCATTTTCCAGAGAAAGCGATGATTATAACAATTAAAGAAAATCGATCAGTCTATTTATATTATCAGACTTTTCATATTATTTTAAGTTTCTACTGGGTTCTTTAGAAGACATAAGGGAAGGGAACATAACACAGAAAATAATAATTCATAAACCAAAACACATAACATACTATAGCTAGAAATTGCTATGACATTTTCCCGATCTTTGAGATCAGTCTGAAAAAAAAAGATGCATCAGATACCAAGAGGACATGCATAATTAGTCGATATCAACTGACAAGACCATAGCCTAAAACGAAAATAAAAGATAATGAAAAGACAAACAAGTTTAACAAACACAAAATAAAAAAAAAACTACTGCATGAGCCTAGCAATTCTAAGGGCGCTCCCAGGTGCTACGGAATGGTACACATATTCTGATAGTCTGGTCATGTTGCTCATGGTAAGCACACTTTTTGTGTTAAGTCTCATTCGTTTATATCACAATCGAGGAACAGTACTGTGGTTACTACAGTAAGAAAATATCCGTCGGCATCTGTGACACAGATATTCCATAACGGTAAACAAGCACGTGACTGCGTCCGTTAATTCTTGAAAGGATGACTTCGACTTAAGCACTTGGTAACCCTTGGTTCAATAGCTTCCTTGTTAGAAGAAATATTCTATCAATGAAATCATGACATAAAACAATAGGTCTGGAATAGTTTGTTCTTATGTTGTACTGTTACACCATTGTCCAAGGTTAGGGGAGGGTTTGTCGCCAACAAACTAGTGTAACCCTGCCACATTCTGCATGTGCCTGTCCCATGTCAAGAGCTTGTATTTCAGTGGTTGCCGTTTGTTGCTGTATATCATATTTTTTTTCCGTTCATTGATTTGTACATAAATCAGGCCGTTAGTCATCTCGTTTGAATTGTTTTACATTTGTCATTTCTGGGCCATCTATAGCTGACTATGCGGTATTAGATTTGCTCATTGTTGAAGTCCGTACCTTTACCTATACTTGTAAACTTCTATGTCATTTGGTCTCCGTTGGAGAGTTGTCTCATTGGCAATCATACCACATCTTCTTATTTTTATATCAACAGTGAGATATTAACCCCATTTACATCATCTGCTAGGAGGTTGCTACATAGAAATAAAAAGTTCACATTGCCGTATTTTAGTAAGGATTTGTATGTATTTAGTCACTTTTGCGTGAGATTGAAACTAATATTTTGGGGGGTTCAGAAACGGCAGTTATTGCATGGGCTAAAATACATGTTTAGTGTTTAACAGTCAGCATTTGATTGGTTAATTTGAAACTTAAACATATGAATAGACTATGCGTCACATTGTATGAACAGTAGACGTCAAGCACCACACTTTGAAAATTACCAACGCAAGTTCGAATCAGTTCGGAGATTTAGAGAGACCGATTTACCCTTTAAGAATTTCCCCTACTTAAAATTTTTGAAAGATAATTCAATTATACGAAAACGTCTAAAAAGAATATATAATTAAACTAATTAACCCAAATTAATATGTTTTTAACATATTCCGTTATAAAACAGTACATGCTTTAAAATGACGTTAACATCATTTCAAATCATCGACAACAGTGATTCGTTCTGTCTGAAGAGCCAAACATGGTAGAAAACGCTAACGGATAACAAATGAACATTACGCTACTGGAATGTGTTTTTCTGGATATACATTTACTTTGAACCATCACCACTGTTCCAATGATGTTTTACTTCTTTATGTAAATTCATAGATCATTTTATTTTAAAGTTACGGATAATTATAAATGGTTTTTGGTGTCATTTCTAATCTTCTGAATCAATGTTTTATACCGTTGATCAAGAAGTATATCATGTTAATATGGTTTTACACTAGTCATTTTAAGGGCCCTTTATAGCTTGCTGTTCGGTGTGAGCCAAGGCTCCGTGTTGAAGGCTGTACTTTGACCTATAATGGTTTACTTTTACAAATTGTGACTTGGATGGAGAGTTGTCTCATTGGCACTCATACCACATCTTCTTATATCTATAAGCTATCAAAAGCTCATTCTAGGTTTAGGACGACATTAAGAAACTTTTGACACAAACTGAAAGATTATCAAGACCAAAGACTTGGGATTGTGTAGGACCAAATGCTTTTGTCAAAAATAAAATTAGTTTGAATTTATCTGTCTTTTCTTCAAATATAAATGCATGGATATTTGTCTCAGATGTCAGTTCAACTAATTCGATGGATGTTTTTGTAATTTGCAAGTTCTGTGCGCACAGCTGATATTTTTAAGGTATGAATAAGTTTAAACATTTATTCATGTAGTAAGATTTACCCGGTTCCTGTGAACGTTGATGTTGTGCATGTTTGTTGTGTCGGAACTTTCGTCCAACTGGCAGCCTGAGTTACCATTGCTTCAGCGTCCATCAAACCAAACCCAAGAACTTGACTATCTGTATCAGAACAAAAACTACTGATTACAATCCAGAGATAATTGTCGTTTTTACATACATAATTTCTAGCATTGAATAAGATATCAGGAACATAATTCTATTCCGGGAGTGGTTTGTTTTACACAGATAAATAATTTAACAGTATTATTTGGCTTACAGTAGAAAAAATGCTAACTTCTTTCAGATCTCTCTCGTGCAAACTCTGATTCCTTACCTGGCTTTTGCTTTTTGTCTTTTTTTGGTATTCAGCTTTTCATTTCATTTAACATGTTTAAAAAGGTTTCGATTTTCAACGTCTTGGCCTCACGAGCACATTTATTGTCGAAAATAAATCTATCATAGAAATGCACATCTAGTGCATGAAATTAGTACCGTCAATATTATTAGTAAACGTTGACGTTTGTCAAATAGGACAAAATATAAGCAGTTTACCTTACACTTTTATATTTTTATTGAAATATTGTGCTCATTCAATTATTGAAACAAATACGGAAAGAAAGAAAAAAGAATAGAAAAAAGAACGTATGAAAAAAAAAAATCCCGAATGCGTCGGACCTTTAAAGTTGAAACTTACCAAAAGCTCCGTAAAAAACCCCCAACTAGGCGGTACAGTTTACATATAACAAGCAATTTTATTTAACATAACTGTCAAAATAAACCAGTTTAAATTTTACCGGTGATTAGTTGTTATAAAAGAAAATTACTTATCTTATAATTGTTTTTAAGAAGTTAACAATTTAATGTTTAAACATAACAGTCAAACTGTGTAATTAAAACTGTAGGAGTATATGTGTCCTGGTTACCTATCAACTACTGCTATCCTTGATTTAATTTAACAGCCACAATATTTCGTTTATATCATGTGAGTTCATGAATTCTTGATTCTTAGCATATGCTTATTATCAAATGAGTCAACTTGAAGACAAACGGTGTCATTCAACGTTGCAAGTAAATGATTCCTGATTTTCTTAACAGATATAAACCAGAATAAACTTGATAGTCTAACTATGTCATTTATTCAATACGAATAAACGGTTTTTGGTTATTTAGCAGATATCAATCATATTTGATTATACTTTACAACCAAATTGTTTCATTCAAACTACGCAAGTACATGAGTCCTAGTTTTTCAGCAGATATTAACCTTTATATGATTTAACTTGACTGTTAAGCTTTGTCGTTCAAGCTACGCAAGTACATGAGTCCTAGTTTTCTAGCAGATGTTTTGTATTTTCTGTTCTATTAAACTGTAATGCAACATGTGTTAATTAGTTAAGAAAGTAAAAAACATACATTCTTTTCCCCCTCCATTTGTTTTCCAACTAGAATACGAATCTGTAAATCCATTTCTAGTTGACGTCAGAACAAGCATATGCTGAATATCTCTCCACGTGAGCGCAGAACTAAAACAGAAAGAAAAATGATGATTTCTACATTGTATTTGTGTCAAAAAGATGTTATTTAAAGAATAAAATTACTGGTTGAGTTAAAAGTTTTTTTTTAAATGAGATAATCCTAAATTTCAAAACAAATTTTGAAGTTTCAAATGATTCTTAATAGTGTTCGGTTGCATTTCACCAGTCTAATTGATAAAAAGGGACTCACTTTGCTTGGAGGGCTAACGCAATGATACCAGAAGCGATAGGTGTTGAAAACGATGTACCCTGTAGACCATCACTTGTACATCCGGAGGAAGTTGTCGTTGAAGTCTTTGAAATAATAAGAATATATTTAAAGACTTTATGATTTAGTTGTCATGCTTAATACGCCAGTATAGAAATGTTTGACTCAGCATATTTCTTTGAATAACAATGGTTTGGTTTACAACAAAAAATAATTACATTGTGGAATTCAGATAAATGTATATATCCATATACTACAAGGACTGTTACTTTAAGAATCATAACTGGTCGGGAATTTAAATACTGTTACGCAGTAAAAATTTAAAACTTGCTTAAAAAAAACAAACAATTACTTCGAAACGTCAAAATGTGCTATATTTATAGGATTTTATCAATAGCAACACAAAAGTATCATCTATCAAAAATAAACTGTTAGCCTTTTAGTAAACACAGTTCCCCGTAACTTATTGGTGTCGGTATTTCTTCAAAGATTTGTTCGCATTGTTACGTGGTATCTACTCTTTTCTGTTTAAACACATCGCAAATAAGAACCCTGCTTGTTTTAGTTGAAATGTACGAAATATTGGTTAATAATACCCTCATAAACAGCCCATGGCGATGTTTTCAGTACTTCGTAAGATTCATTTTCAGTATTGTATGAAAATTACTGAATTTTTTTTCGTAGAGGTGATATTATATTTGTGGTAAATTTGTTCTAGTTTTCGACAATGATTTTGTAATCTTCAAAAATGGACAAAAATTCAGCATAAAGAATATCTATACCAATACGTCATAAACTCTTACTAAATATCGATTGTTGCTACTTCCACCGTAAGTCGCTACTAATGCAGCTGCGCAGACTTCAGAGTACCATGCATTTTGTCCTTCTTCTACACTTGTTACACCAATGGTGTAGATGCTATTTACATATCCGTCTCCATTACAGTTATCGCTTGTTTCGCCATTACCTGCTGCCCATGTATAAATAACGCCTTTGCCACCTCTGCCCTGTTGATAAGAGTTACAAACGTAGAATAACATAACTAAAAAACTGAAGTGTATGAAGACATAGAGGACTTGGTTTATATCAAAGCATATAAAGTACTTTGAGTTAATTTTCAGTAGTTTTTAAAACTAGTTAATACGGTAATATTTGCAAACGTTTTTCGTGTTTACAAAAAAAAAAACTTTGATATTGGTCATCTGTGTTTTTTCCTTATTAGCTCCTAATATAGTCTAATGAATAGCGGAGATATCTGAATAATTGAACATGTTTAAGTGTTGTTTAAACTAACATGTCACTTTAACAGATTCAAACCGCAATGCATTGCTTTGTTAGTAAAAAGTTAAATAACACACGCCAAAGAAAATTCAAAAAACGGAAAGTCCCTTTTGAAATGAATCAAAAGCTCAAACACAATATTTCTGTCTGGTAGAGGCCATTTCCCTATGTAGAAAATGGTGGATTAAACCTTGTTTTTATAGCTAGCTGAAACTGTCACTTGTATGACAGTCGTTTCCCCTGGGTCACTATTATTTTTCGACAGTCCTTTCGCAAAACGATATTTGTTTTCGCCTTATTCAACTTTTTTTTAAACAACTTATAATATTGTGACAAACAACTTAAAATTAAATTTGCAGCGTAATGTTCTCGTGTTTAATTCAGATCGTTCATAACATGTAAAAGAGAAGCGAAAGATACCAAGGGATATTCAAACTCATAAGTCGAAAATAAACTGACAACTCTATGACTATAACAGAAAAAGACAAACAGACAAACAATAGTACACAAAACACAACATAGAAAACTAAAGACTGAACAACACGAACCCCACCAAAAACTGGGGGTGATCTCAGGTGCTCCGGAAGGGTAAGCAGATCTTGCTCCACATTTAATCTTAGGTCCGAGTGTACATTTAAGCCACATCTCTATTTCATAATCAACATTTAAATAAATGAACGCTCAGTTGGAATTAATCTTTTTATTTACATTTAAGGATACTGCAAAATTATTTCACAGACAATAACACTTTGCTAAAAATATCAGCAGTTCGGGATTTGTCTTCAATCAGTTGATTGGATATTTTCGGTCTAGATTAATAAATTCAAAAGCTTTACGTAACATTGTAGGTTGTTGTTTAGAAAGTAGAAGAAAAATAGATTCGTTATTGACAGTTTAAGTTAATATGTAAACTATGTTTAAGATAGAAACGCTAAAACAATTGTGATCCACGTCATTAATTCAAAACACATATATGTTGCTAAAGTTGTAATAAGACTCATTTAAGTGACATGTTAAGCCGTTGTGATCAAATCTTTTATTGATAAGTTTATTGCTGATAGCTTTTTTTTTAAATCAGCTGCAGCTAAATTTGTCTGTTAAATTCGAAACGTGTGACAAGTTTAAGGTAAAAAAATCGTGGTGTTGATTGATAAGGAAAAAGTCAGAGAAGCTGAAAAAAGCAAAATGGCCGACGTCGAACTGTTACAATCTTTGGCAATAGATTTTCACAAATAATGACTTATTTCCCAACAAATGCGATAATTGTTACTGTCAGCAAAAACTGTTTATTATGCATACATTAGTAATTCCGTCTTGAAGGGCGCTTTCACTGAGTGTGTCAGGTCTAGAAAATCCATAGCCATCTGTAGGACCCCAGCTGTTTGAATAAATATCTACACCACCGTTTAGATGATGGTTGAGTGCCTGTGCTTCTTGTGAGTCTGTCAATCCGTAAGTACCAAGAATTCGAACACCTTCAATGGAAAGTAAAGTCGTACTTACGGCGGAAATGAAACTTTCTTGTTACAACTCAAATTTCTCTCTCGCTCTTGGTGAGAGATGAGAAGACAATGCTTGATGTAAACAATAATATGCATTAGTATATACAAGCCAAAATTAGGTGTCATTTTGACATCAAATCTGGCAGATAATATTATCAAATTTATTTATTAATGACAAAAACATATGTGGCAAAGGATTGATGAATATTACTGATTTTTTGGAATTTAAATGGTCAGGTAAAGACTATTGCCGTACCAACAAAAAGGATAAAATCAAACCTATCTTTTGAAATGTAAAAAAAATCTGTCATATAATTGTTCTAAAATGATTTAGAACAGTTCTACCCTAAACTGTCGTAGGGTAAAACTGTCAGAACAACGCGGCCAAAAAGATATAAGATATTCTTGTGAGTTTATGCCGACAAATCATTATTTTTGTGAACGATTGTGCTGTACTCTTCTTAAGCCAAAATATATTTGAAATTAGCCTACTTTTTGAGTAAATTATGTAAATCGGAAGTATGCCTTCACCTCAATGACGTCACGTTCCAACTGCATCATAAAGACATTTTTAAATAAATTGTTAAGTAGGTTGCTAACAAAAGCTTATCTTATGTTTGATCAGTACACAGGCCAAATGAGCCCAAAATGTAGTATTCTTACCAGTAGCTTTGTTTTTTTCAAACATATCAATAGACGTGATAGGGTCAGTGATATGTCTCGTGCGTTTTATGGCTATCCATAAAACCAGGTTCAGCCCACCATTTTTTCTTAAAATGTCCTGTACCAAGTCAGGAATATGGCAGTTGTTATCAGATAGTCCGTTTCTATGTATGTTGACGTGTGCTTTTGTGGTAATTCAGTGTTTCTATTGTTCCGTTGTTTTCCTCTTATAGTTGATGTGTTTCTCTCACTTTTAGTTTGTTACCCGGATTTGTTTTCGCTTAATCGAATAATGACTATTGAACAGCGGTATACTTATGTTGCCTTTATTTAACGATACTCCTCTGGTCAAAAACAAAGGTGTAGGTGTATGAGGATTCGGGGTTTCATGAATACTCACAAAACTATTTCAAAAAACGAAACCAGGTGCGCGGACATGGTAGACGTCGTTTTTGATCCACGAATCATTCGCCTTACGAATTCAGTAAAAATGACGAGATAAGGAATTAGACACAGTCAGTAATATACATATCATCTGGCATTTTGATATTATACTAGTAGTCTAGTAATTATATGAGTGTCATTTAACAATTCATAATTACCTATTATAGTAGATTCATATGCTATCCCAACGGTACATTCGTTGTTATCCTTTTCTGCAGCTATAAAACCTGCCACTTTTGTACCATGACTACAATTATTTAGAGCGTATTAACAACATGGTAAGTAATGGATTCACTTTTTGAAAAAAGATAAACACGATTAATATCCACGGCGTTTGGTATTCGAAAACTAACACGAGTCAAAGCGTATAAGTGAAATTATTATCTTCTTTTACATTAAACATCAACGAACTTAAAATATACATACAATCATCTTTAAACGTCTCAGTGACGTATTCATGACATAAGATAAGCAAAAAAAAACAAAAAAAACTGCCTATTTTGTCATTGGTGCGTTTCTTTCTCGTCATACAGAATACCGTTTAAAGTGTATTGACGTATTCATGACATAAGATAAGCAACAAAAAAAACCTGCCTATTTTGTCATTGTTGCGTCTCTTTCTCGTCATACAGAATACCGTTTAAATTGTATTGAGATGTACTGATTGCTCTGTTAACTAATTACACATTCATATAAGTAAAACAGCAGAGAAGACACAGAGCTTCGTGTAAGATTATATACTAAGTAATTCGAAATATCAGAACATTATAAGAAATATCACACTTTTAATATTAGCAGTATTGTCAAGTGACTCAGTAAACGTTGTCCTCTCCATTTCTGGGCTTCATACAAACACGGTGATATTTTGTTTACATAACCCTTATTTTATAATATGCACATTTTATGTTTGTTATCAACTTCATAGGTTTAATAGCTTCTATTTCCCTACCTGCTTCCAACATCTGGTGTCGGATCATCATCCGTACTTTGGTAGTCGTAATCGTTAACTGTGTCCTGAAAGTAAAACACAAATGAGACGACCGTGTATAAACGTGAAAACATATTTGTATAAACACACAAACCTTGATCTTTATTGATGATTTGTTCTGCATTTCCTTTTTTTATAGTCTTGTGGTAGGAACCTCCATAGAGTGCAGGAGGTCGACATTTCAGTCTTTGCCCTACGTCAAACCAAGGACTTTGTATGTATTTTCTACCTTTTTTTGCTACGCATGTGGCATGTATTAGAAACAAAACAAATGTAACAAAAAAAGGCTGGTAACAACAGTTGCCATATAGTTTTTCTGCACGAGTAGTCAAGTTATTGCCCGAAGCGATAGCGGATTCTTTATGCTTAGACTAATCATTATCTTTTTTTTTACTGACAATAGAATAATTCTATATACCACATTTGAGTTTAAATCAGTATGATCGGTCTGTAAACCGTCGTCAAGGATAGCAATTTTTATTCCATTTCCGGTAAATCCAGCATTCCAAGCTTCGTTGACTTTCATAGAAGGCGATACCGCATCATTCTGTAAAATATTGAATAAAATTAAAACAAAATGAATTATGCAGTGAATATAGATATAATTAAGAATAAGATAATAATAGTAATCGTCCTTTTATGTGTTCAAGACATATGATTAGTAGAGAGATAATATTCGTATATGTTGCCTCAAAGGCATGACACATAAAAGAAGATACCAACGGGGTAATCGAAATTAATAAGTTTAATAAATACAGACAACACAATAGCAAAAAAATGAAAAATGACGAAAAGACACACAGCAATAACAATACATTACTGTTACACGCATACTTAATGTTTTTGTCGAATATGAACAAGAAACAAGTTTCTACATGTCTATATAAGATACAATAAATAAGATAATGTCGGCGATCGTTTTAATAATTTGTCCAGATGAAGTGATAATAAAAGGTTTCAGAAAAAAACTTCATTGCGATGTTTGAATGGTAAACTTTGATGGATTGAAGATTTATCAGGTGGATTATGAATATAAAAAGGACAAACAAACCGTTAAAATCTGGTTAGGAGTAGGGGCATTAAGGCCCGGTTTTGGCCCAAGAAAATAAAGTTTGAGAACTATTTCAAATTTTCTCATAATGTTTGGAAACAAAAACAAGAAATATAAATGATTTAGATATCATTTTTTATGATATGACGTTCCAATTACATCATAATGTGCACTTTTTTCATGAAAACAAAGAAAACTGCTTACTTTATGTAGTTTTCCGTCAATATTTCCTTTGTGGAAACAATGTGCGTAGGGAAGACACAACAACATAATTGAAGAGAAGCTTTATTATAACCATTGACATATTCTAACCAAATATAAAGTTGTTTCTTGGGTGCGCACATACTTTTCCAAACTAATATATACTTAAAAGTTGACGTAAAAGGAAAGGAAAGTCAAGAAATTTTACAAAATATACACTTTTTGTCATAGTTTGTTGCCATAGTAACTCGTTAAATATGAAATTTGTTTTTATTTTCTGAACACCTTGTATCTTAGTGTAATTTGGACAAAGTAAAGAACATCTATAATAACTTATCAATTTGCACTAATATTTGAACCAAATAAGGGTCGTATTGCCCCTACTCCTTTATCTTAATTATATTTCATTCAACTAAAACATCAAAACCGTCTCTTGAAAAATGATTGCTGGAATTTGTTATCTTCTGATAATTGTAAATCTAGTTCGTCAGTAAACTATTAAATTTTCATAAAAAAAAAATGTAAAAGTCATAACGGGGTAAACTCTACTATTATCCATCTTACCAAGTGCCACAGATTAGACCATTCTGTGTCTGCTGTCTTCGGCACTCTAATGAATCTTTTTTCTTGTTTAACAAAATCTACCTAAAATAGTGAATAATACTGCACTTTACATAAACCAGATCAAACATTAAGTAATTTGTAATTTAAGTACAAATATACGTAATGTCTGACAAAAGTAAACAAACAAAAAGTTTAAAGGTCATAATTAACACATGTATGTATACGATCCCAATCAGTGAAATTGATACCGTGTCTATTGCAAAATGACGTACGTCTGCGTTGACACAATCATAGGATTTAATATTATATACTTTGATACATTGTACTTTTCATATTGAAAACACCATAGTAGTCATTGAAATAAAATAAATATAGATGTCAAAGTCTGATTTGAATGTGCTACAACTTAAACTCCAAACAACGAAATTTAAATACTTATGTTTTAGAGGGATTGAAAAAAAAAAATAACAAAAGTTTTCTGTAAAATTTTGTTTTTATTATTAATCTATTGTATTATGTGTAGATTTATAACTACTTTGAAACATATACATTGTAAATGTACTGATTTTATTTCCAAATGGTGCATGAATATTAAAGATTTATAAAATAATTGCGCTTTATGAGGGTGTGGATGGGTATTAAATAATAGAGATAAACGGAATGAATGGGACAAATATCAAAAATAGAGAAACACTTGCCTTACAATTAAAGAATACAGAAATCTAGACCACCAATCAGAAGCCTATAGAACAGTTTTTAATTTGCATCAATCATTAAATAAATGTACCTCCAAATCCAGTTTTAAGTTCTTAATGTCGGAGTCTTCTGTCTGCTTGCTGATCTTACGTGTGCGCTGTGTTTCATTTATTTCAAATACAAAGTACTCGTGTCTTCCTATCTGGAACTGTAAGAAATAAATATGTACCGTTGAAAATATTCATTAAAACGCATTGTAATGAGAGCCCTTTTCAATTACAACCACCTAGCTATACAACCAGGTTTACCAACAATTTTTTATTCGAAAATGCATGAACCAAGTCCGGAATATGACAGTTGATTTTCACTAGTTCGTTGGTTGATAACGTTGATTTTGTCAGTTTTTACAGACTTCCATTTTTGAATTTATCTTGGATTTCGGTATTTTTTTTATTTATATCCTCTCGAGCTGCTCTGTCCGTTTGTTATATTTTCCGTATTCCGTCAAAAGGTCTCATCGAAACAGCAGTACTCATTCGCGTATCTAAAAGAGCAAAGACATTAAATACTGTTGTTCCGTTGTTTTCCTCTTATAGTTGATGTGTTTGCCTCGGTTTTAGTTTGTAACCCGGATTTGTTTTCGCTTAATCGATTTATGACTATTGAACAGCGGTATACTACTGTTGCCTTTATTTACATCCTTGGCCAAATTTTTTTTTATGTTTGAGCCAAAAAGAGCTTCTCAAGAAATTAATTGACATATGAATGTGAAAGTTTTGAGAACTTCTTTACTGTAAAATTGCACCATATATAAGTTGGTATTCAGTAGATACCTACATATACATAAATTCATGTTATTTATACAAAAATGACAACATTTGCCATGTCATGACGTCACTATCATCTCTACAGCTATGATCAGTTCTTACTATGTTTTTGGATATTCTGTCTTGATTAAGATAAAATAAAAAAAAATGAAAAAAAAAAATGAAATCAAGTATCGGAAGATAATAACTAAACTTTTTTTTTTTTTATATCAAATCAATAAATTAATAGAGCTTTACAAAAAATATCCAGAGAAACAACTTTCAGGATATGTTCTAAGGTAGAGCTGTAAAAATAAATGCAAGGAAAAATTGTTAAAAAAAATAATTTTAGGGTGAAAATTTTAGTATCTTATCTATGTTAGAATTGTTCAAACCTATTCTGTTTCGGTCTCAAATATCCAAAACTGTTCTGTCTGGGTTTGAAAATTGCAAAACACTTCTTGGTAATATATGTTATATTTTGCTCTAGGTAACGACTGTCCAAATCGGTTCTATGGTAGAACTGTTCAAAAATTACCAGGAGAACAGCATTCTGATATACTTTGAGAGTGGTTAGATCTTATTCATACTGAATTTTTTGCAAAAAAAAAAAAAAAAAAAAAACAACTAAAAATACTGATTTAGATTTTTTTTAAGTTTATGTTATCTTTCCCTTTGAGGACAGTAGCGAATCAATATTGGTGAAATTTTTTTACATCATGTCTAGCTATTTCATATTTTCGTTTAATAGGAAATTGAGTTCTCTTTTAATGAGAACCTTTAAAGTAGGTGTTTCGGGAATTCTTATATCATTTATCACTTTTTTAAAAATTATAAAAACTGACCACATAAGAGCCTTACTGACTTTTCCCCCATTATTGATTGCATTATTTTGAAATCTTTGTCGGAAAGATGACTGTCATTTACCATGTTAACGTGATGATTTGCTACCAGGAATACGTTCAATTTATAAGTACCTGTATCCCTGTATCCATGTGAATTAGTGAATAACTGCGTTAATCTCTTCCCCAATTACGTTTCCATTAAAAATTTGTTTGGGTTTCCCATCATTAGTATAAGGACGTCTCAATCATAAGCATTAGTAAAGGACGATGAGACCAAACACATAAAAACATGGTGTATCGAAAGGGCTAGAAACGGTTTTATACAACATACAAAAGTATATTTAAAAATTGTCAAGAGTGTTAGTAAAAATTGCTGTATTAAACTGTCGTTTTTCCTCTTTTGTACTGAACCATTTTTCTGCCTTTTACTTTTCAGAGGAAAAGTTTCAAACTTGTTCTTATTCCAATGTCTGAACCAAAGATATGATATCATTGCTATCCCCTACCTATTGAATGTTATTAGTTATTTAACGAATATTATGGTTTTAGGATCCGTCTTCTGATGTTATGATGGAAATTTATTAATTCCGAATTAATCTAACCATGACATGTTTGCGCCTTTATGCAAATTAATTTTATCTTTGATTAATCTGATACATATTTTTGTAATGATCACAGATAACGTACCCTTAGTTCTAACGACTCATACGTAAATTTCCCTCTAATCATTAATTAATCTCTAAACCTGCACCCTTTCCTTTCTTTTATTATAACACCGAAATAATGATGATGTTTATCACTGCATGGTGACCAAAACAATTGAAGCTGAAAATGAACACATACATAAAAGAAAATAACACTTTTTTAATTTCGTTCATCCGAAGCGCTTTTCTACCATCATAAATAACCCTCAAACTCAAACAACTGAAACCTAAGGATGGAGAAGATAAACATTAAGGTAAAACAAAAAAACTGAGGAAACCACATCCGAAAGGAGAGAGACTCGGGTTACACTTTTTGTAATACGTTCCGGTTATGTTTGTATTCCAAACTCCGCTTCATCAATTCATTATTTTTAAAGTGTATAAACTTGTAATACATGTATACTGTAGAGCTGTTTATTTTATTATTTGATATGTTTGCTTTTTAAGCAAATAGCTGATAGAAATAAAGTATGAAAGTATAACAAAAATACCGAACTCTAAGGTAAATTCAAAACGGGTCAAATACACGGAACGAATGGAAAACTTTAAATCAATATAAACAAGATTATTAATGTGGTTTTACTACCTTTCACTTTTTTATAAAGAAAACTGCATATTATTAATCAAGGACAAGAAGGGATGTATACAGTATATTTGATACGACGTTAGATTTTGTCAGTTTGTATGGACTTCGCTTTTTTAAATTGACCCTGGAGTTTGGTATTTTTGTTATGCTTTTTTTTCCAAGGAATACGCGTTGATTTGTTATATATAAATATTTTTCATCATTACAATTTTTATATTTTTACATTTGATAGTTGGGCAGGCTTATCTCAGTTGTTGATCTAAGTCCTACGAGCTTGAACGTATAGTAGATGTACTTCGTTTTCTTGATTCAAACATCTACTTGTAACGATTTTACATATTAATACAATAAAATATGAATTAGAAAGTAAAACTGTTCTCAAAACAGTTCATCCGTGCTTATAAAACGACGTACCCTCCTTTGAAATATATATCCAGCGTGTCTCTTTGTAAATCTATCAATAAACCCTTCGGAGTTGGTTGTGTTTATTATAACTCGACCTGTAAACTCTCCATCAAACACTAGTGTACTGTAATACATTTTTAAACAACACAACATGAGAGTTAACAAATATACGTTCATTATATATCCAGTGCTGGTTATGTTTGGTGATTTAAATTACCGTTATTCAAATTTATGATATATGTTTTATGAATGACTGCATTTATTAATACCTGTTAACTAAATGGAAATACCCTGACGGTAAATTTTAAAGACATTGTTCCAAAGTCATTATGTCATGCATAACGATATGAATGAAATGATATGTTGAGTATACGTCAATGAGATAGAAACTTAAATAAAGCAAACACACAAAAAAAGAACGAAAAGGTTATAAAAAAATAGGAGAAAAGCAAAAATAAAGAAACAAAATATAAAAAAACATTGTTCAGTGATAGTGAAAATCGGACATGAACAATTAACGTTACCTTGATTATGTTTTTGCTTCAAATGATCGAAAATTTTCGAATTACGCTGCGGAAATTTACCCACAAGAATGTAGGCAAAATAAATACAATACAGACAGCAATGAGTTTTGTTTTCTAGATTTGGATATTTCAGTTTCACACGGGAGACTATTAAAAAATGAAGAAAAAAAAAAACGATTTTTCGTTCCCGATTGTTAATTTTTACCTTTTGGGCGGTGATGTTCCTCTTGGAAGTTTATCTCACAGCTTGTTTGATTTCAATGAACGTAATCCATGTATAAATGATAAATTTTGAAGTAAGGGATTTCGTTACCAAACATTATTTATACCTTTACTTACCCTTCCGATGCAAATGAGATCACCGCCGGTTTATGGTGGATTTCGTGTATTGCTTAGTCTTTTGTTTTCTATGTATTGTTTTATAAACTGTTGTCCCTTGTTTGATCCTCTTTTTTTCTATGGTGTGCCAGTTTATTTTCGACTTATGAGTTTGAATATTCGTTCAATGTCTTTCGCCTCTCTTTTACTAAATGGTAAATGGTACAAAGATTTAGTTATGAAGTGTGGCTATACTTGTAGAGTTCGTATCAAAAACGGGGTATCACATCCTTATTCTAACGGTGATGGCGTTTATGAAGCCAGTGAATTTAGAAACGATCAATGTAAAGCAATTGATCCTTTGTATAAACTTGTTCTTAAGGGTTGTCAGCAGTAAAATTTTTAAATATTGTTTTATAGGTACTAACATTGATTTTGTTTTTGAAAAATTAAAAACACAATCCTACATCTTGTCGGTTTATTCACTTATATTTTGGCGTTGCACAAGGGCATGCGTTTCCCAGACTGTTTATGACGTCTGTACAATAAATCTGTTCATTTGTACTAATTGATAATTAAGTCTGGGAGAACATGATTTATCTATTAGATATAATTGGGTTCGATCAAGCTTTCAGTAACTGGCAGTACTCTTATTTCGTAACTTTTTGTCTAATATTTTTACGTATCGATCATTTTAGTTAAGTGTATTGCAATTTCTCGTAACACCAATATCCAATAATAGGGAGGGTTGAGCGCTCACAAATATGTATAATCAGCCACAAGTCAGGAGCCTGTAGTTCAATGGTTGTCGTTGGTTTGTGTATGTTATATTTGTTTTTCGTAAATTGATTTGTTAGAAATAAGGCCGTTAGTTTTCTCATTCGAATTGTTTTACATTTTTCATGCCAGGGCCTTGTATTGCCGACTATAAAGTATCGGGTTGTCTTCTGGTTGAAGGCCTAAAGGTTGCATACAATTGCAATTGCAATTTTCGTTGTTTTACTTTTAGCATCCACTTATTTGAACTCTGGTGGATAGTTGTCTCATTGGCAGTTATACCACATCTTCTTATTTCTATAATGTTTCCTTTATTTTGTTGTTATGTGCTTTTTTGATTTTGTGTTATCTATTGATACAACTTGTTTTTTGGACTTTTTCATAATACATGTTTATTAAAGAAAAAACCGCTTGAAGATTTTTTCGATTGATGTTTTCCAATTATACATTTCTGTATTGAGTTGAAATTTTATTCAGGTTACAGTAAAAAAAATGATTTCGCTCGTAGAAGAACGATTGGACCAATTTCGACTACCATATGCGGATTACACTCTTCTGCATTTCTTGGCATGGATGGAATCAAATTTAGTATTAGTTGATCAAAGGATTGATGTTGACTGACCCGTTTATCGAGCTCGTCCCAAAGGCCTGCTATGGGTTTGAAATCCGGGGACTTTGAAGGCCATTAGCTGTAATGGACCGGGCATTTCCCTGCTGAATCATCTCCATCTGTTGGTCAATAATATTGAGCACATATGTTATGTATGTATGCATATTCTGCGGATGAATGATATTGCCATTAAATTAATCACGCTTCTATCTCAAAAACTTCCTTTACGCAAACAGGAATGAAACGTTCATTTCAAAGCATGTATACTTCGGTTCATCTATCAAGTGTATCTCATCGCTGGACACAAATCTATCATTGTTCCTCAAAGTACAGATCCTCAATATGTAACACCAAGAACACTTGCAAGTATGAGTTCCTGTGATGTATGTAGTAAAAAAAGTTATTCATTTATCACTTATCTTGATATGTATCTTGTTTTTCTCGTTGTTTTGTTTTCCCTTTTTTACAGTAACAATGACGGACAATGTAGTTTCAACCTCATAATATGTTGTTTAAGGATGTACTGAGGTCAGATGTTCGGACTCCTTGGTTTTTTTCCTACGATATAGGGTAATTTATTTTGCCCCATAACACCCGTTTCTCTTTTCATATAAGGCTTCATAAAAGGTCACTTACTTATATATAAGCAGATTCTAGATTTCTTTTCTTTCGATTTGAGTCCCAAATAATATCAATGCAAATATAAGGTAAAAATCCAAGTCAGCCTTTTCCCGCCACTTTTTAAAAATTAAATATCTCGAAAATGAGCTCCATAACCTATCAATAATTTTAGCTTATTTTGTTTATTAACTAATGCTCTTCTGAAATATAGCATCAATTTTAATTCTAGATTTTTTTTTAAATTTCACCTAAGTACATCCTTAAACGCACTTCTTAGTGTTTTTTTTATTGATATACAATTGAAGATCTGCCACCAACAACAATTTTGCAAATGACTAAAATCTATAAGTTAAAAAAAAAACATCTGTCGCCATTATTGACGTGATTGGAGTTATTTTGTTTGATAAAATCATTACCTTTTTTCTTTTGATATCGATGATTGTTTTAACCAAGGCACATTACAAGAACAGAAATAAAAAAATCAGTACAGGAAAGTATTGATCTATAACGACGGTAAAAAAAAAGATGCCAAATTAAAAGTTAGAAACACAATTTAAATTAAGACCTATCAACTAATGTTTGTTGTTAATATTTTAAGTATACACATGTGAACTCATTTATCAGATACCTGACACTGAATATAAGGCAAATAGTACAAATCAGACAAAATATGCAAATTGAATAAAAAAATTATCGCCATTTCGTCGGAAAGGGTGATTCAGAATAGTTAATAACTTACAAATACAAACACCGCGTTATATGTTTGTCTTGAAATTTAAACTTCATATTTCTACGGTCATTATCGGGATTAAAAACCGATCCTATGTGTCTGTGTCTTAAACCACTCCCGACAAGTTTTCGCGGTCTTAGATTTTGACACCAGAAATGTCGTTTATGAAGTAGGGGCATTAACCCCGCAAAACGGCCCTGTAAAGGTGTAAAAAGTAAAAAAAATACCGAACTCAAAGGAAAATTCAAATCGGAAAGTCCCTTATCAAATGGCGAAATCAAAAGCTCAAACACATCAAACGAATGGAAATCAACTGTCATATTCCTGACTTGGTACAGCCATTTTCCTTATGTAGAAAATGCTTGATTAAACCTGGTTTTATAGCTAGTATAATCTCTCACTTGTATGACTGTCGCATCAAATTTCATTATATTGACAACAATGTGTGAACATAACAAACAGAAATAATAGGTACAAATGTCAAAAATAGGGGTACAGCAGTCAACACTATGTTATAATCTTAATCACTATAAAAAAAAACAAATATGTCAAAAAAGAAAAATAAAATGACATATAGACAAAGCACATAAGCAAAAATGAAAGACAAGAATACAAAAAATGACCACAGCACAGCATAATGGTGGGATGCATAAGTACCGCAAATAATAATTTTTCGAGAAACTCTCAGCTTTTTCTACTTTTTTTCATGTATGTGGCATAACCGCTCGCCCATTGAAAATTTGTTAAAAAGTGAAGAATATACAATGATATATATATCTAAAGTATACTTCAGGAAAAATTTGTTTGGACGATGGATGGCACCACTGTTAATCACACAGAAAACTGTCACAACAATTGCTAAATTACACAAAAAACTGACAAAAATCTGTGTGGACGATGGATGGCACCACTATTAATTCTCCAGAAAACTGTCACAACATTTGCTTTATACGCAAAAAAGCTGACTTTTGCAAAATTCCCTTACATTAATGACGTATTTGTTTTGCCTGAGGAAATCGTATGTGAATGTATAGCTAAACATGCTAAATGTATTATTGTTGAAAATATAATAATAATAAATGTACATTTGCTTCATATCTATAAAATATATTAGCCTAAAGTTTAAAGATTCCAATTGAGTTCATTTTTCGAGAAATGTGTCAGCTTTTTCTACCTTTTTTTCATGTACGTGGCGTAATCCCTGGCCCATTGAAAATTTGTTAAAAAGTGAAGAATATTTATCTAAAGCTTTTTTCAGCAAAAATTTGTGTGGACGATTGATGGCACTACTCTTAATTCTCCAGCAAACTGTCACAACATTTGCTTAATTACGCAAAAATCTTACTTTTGCAAAATTCCCTTACATGACGTCAAAATGACCATAATTACATTCCTAATGACGTAATTTGTCAAAATATTTTTTAACTAAAAGGATTGACATTGTAGCATATTTTACATCAATTTGTCATAACGTTATGGCAGTTTAAATTGTCAGATAGCAAGGGCCAAAATTATGAGTGAATCAACTCTTTTGGGTGTTTTTTCATGGCGTGTTCTCATAGGAGGAGCCGCTTACCCTTTCATATCGACTAGTCTCGTTCCATTTTGCAATCATGTGATTCCATCAGATTTTTTTTACGTTGATTTGTTTCTTTCTAAAGGATTGAGAGATTAAAACAC